TGTGTGTGTAAATATTGCCGTTCGTCTGTGCTGTGAGGTAACTGGCGCTCTCAGTGTGATGTGATGTGTAACTAGCAATCATTTTTTGCTGGTCTGGCACATTTCTATAGAGAGAAAGAGAGAGAGAGAGACTAAAACAGACAGTGACCATAAAGCTGACAGAGATACAAAGCCTTTGCTGAGCCAATATCACCTACCCTCTTCATTTTTTCTTTTCATGTTAAAGGGTAGCTTCTGCTTTCATCATTTATCATATTGTAATTTTTTTCGCTCAAGCCCCACACTGCAGTCACGCTCCAAAATTGAATGAATGAAATGTTAATCTCAAATGAGGATGTTGGCGTTGTACTCTAAAGTTATTATAAATCATGTTCACTGCACTGAATGGGTATTAAAGAGCTTCCTTCTATTAAAACGAAAGATGTAGGCCATCAGTCAAGTAAATTAGCTTGTAATGTTATCGTAGGGAGCCGTTTAAGGGGTTATTTGCGTTTGATTTTTATCAAAAGCAGTCTCCTTGCAGGTTATTGGAGTGGGCTGAGCTCCTGTGTTTAAACAGACTTGGTGAAGGATTTGAGGTTTTCTAGGTTGTGGATTTATTGGGCAGTCAATGCAACTCTCAAACCCGATGATGAAAAACATGGACAATGTTTCCTTTTTTCAGGAGCCTTTATTTATTACTTCTTGTAGAGCATTAGCTCCACCTAGTGGCGTAAAATATGTTTTAAAAATTTTGATTAAAATAAAGAAATAAAATATATAAATAGAATTATATATAATGTCTAATTAGATTTTATATAATATTTCATGCTAAATTATTAAATAATTATCAAATATAACACACACACACACACACACACACACACACACACACATAAATGTACTAATTAAATGTACTGATATTCTTTTCAGGTTTATATGACAATAAAAATATCTTATCTTAATATTAATATAATCTATTTTTATTATATAAATAATATTATCTCAACATAATATTGTACACACATCCATATATATACTTTTACTATATAAATATGTTGTAATACATTACATTTTGCATATTCATGCACTTTTTCTTCAGAAAACAATATCTAGTAAAAATTAGGGATGCACGATATTATCGGACCAATATCGGAATCGGCCGATAATGGCTTTAAAATGTAAATATCGGCATCGGCCCGATATGAACAACTATGCCGATATGTCTTGCCGATAAGAGGAATACATTAACTCACATGTGCTCATATGCTAGCGATTAGATCACGTCAGCAGTGTGGCTCATTCTTGAAGCAAAGTTTTGCCTGAATGGTGATTAGATTCACTTTTTTTGGATTGCTGCATTTAAACTGAGAATGCACGTACAGAATGAGGCTTTTGGTGTATGATAGAGTAAACAGTAATAGCACTTGCAGCAGCAGCAGCGGCAGCCTCGCCCGGGTCCTAACGCCCGTTCGGTAAGGAATTCAGTAGGGGGCGCTGTTGGCCTACTTTTAATAAAATTTAAGTAAAATAGACAAATAACATTTAGACTGTTTCTGATTAATTAAAGCAGTAATTGATGTCATAAAATCATGAGTATGTTTTGATTTAAAGGTCAGAAGCTATAGTTTACATGAATAAAAAAAAATCACAGACATGACACTTGTAAATTGAATAATTTTATATATACTGATATATTCATTAATGTGTAATATGTTATATTTTTAAAACAAATTATGAGCTCTAAAAGATATTTAGAATTTTTACAACTCTTTTGCTTTAGACCATCTACAAATGTTAAATCTTAAAATAAAATGTTAAGGTTACTACTGCATCTTTCTGGGAAAAAATGCAGCAATTAATATATAGTTTATTTATAGTTATTTTCAAAATATCAATGTACTGTTTTTATAAAAGAACTTCATTGTTGTTTATTTAATTCTAACAAATAAGTTCTTGTTAAAAACTAACCAAAATGAAAAATAATTTGCTTATAATTTCCACACAGGAGAGACTTGGTGTTGTTTCCAAACAAAAGGAAATATATCGGCATTGACTATCGGCCAAAATTAGTTAAAAAAATATCGGCATATCGGCAAAAATCCAATATCGTGCATCCCTAGTAAAAGTAGTTTATTCACATTCTGTTCTTAGGGTTCAGGATAGCATGATATGTTGCTATCTGTATAAACAAACGTCTCAACATCCTACAATATCACCTCAGAACCAAACCCAGTGCATGGACTCCACCCTTAAACAACCCACTTTCATCCCTGTGGGATATTTGTACATATTTTATCGTTATTGTACTTTTGGTATTTGAACATCTGCTTGTAGTATCTCTTTGCCCTGTAGAGGGCGCTGTGGCTGCGCTTCTTTTTTTCGTTGTAACCGTTTTTCCCCGTTACTTCCCTTAGCGCAGGTGCAGCCGTGAACAGCAGCGACAGCCTCCCCCCCTCCTCCTCTGTCAACGACATCTCCTCCATGTCCACCGACCAGACCTTGGCCTCTGATACCGACAGCAGCCTGGAGACCTCCACCGGACCACTGGGGTGCTGCAGGTGACTAACCGCCTGCCTGCGCAACCCCATGTTCTTCAGAAGGTGAACAGCACCCGCGAACCCGAATGAGAAATCCACAAACCTCTAAAACATGAAATAAAAAAATGAGTTAATATATATACGTATAAAATAATGTATCACGCGCAAATGACAACAAAGTGTGCATTTTAATTCAAAGAAACGTCTGAATATGTATATTTATGAATCTTCACTAGTTGCTTTGCTTTGAATCCCCCTCATATGGCATCCAAAAAAAATAAGGAGACTTTAAAAAAAAAAAAAAGGAATACATTTGGGCATCTATGTAAAGTGTATATTGACTGGCTGATATCTAATACCTAGCGATTTTATGTGCGTCTCTTGATGTGGCAGGGTGGGCTTTTATTTTAATGAGCACTGATCAACCCTTGTTTTCTGTGATGGTTTTTTGCTTGTGCGAATGTTTTTGGATGGGCCGGTGTGTCTGTGTGCGATTTCTCCTATAGGGTCAAATAACATGTACAATGGCGCCCCCTATCTTTTGTATATATGTAATTGTGTACAGTTGTGAGGCGTTTTCAGAGTGGGACTGACGGCCAGTAGAGGGAGTATTTGCACACCTTGCCACATCACAGATAATCACCCGTTTCCCTTTGCCTGTAGTCTTGCATGGTCAGAGAAAAAAAAGTAATTAAGCTAATTATACATATACAAATATAGAGAACCGTGTTTATATAACATTTAAGGGTGAAAGTGGGCGTTTCAGACGCTCGACAGGAAGTGAGGCTGCTTAACAGGAAGCCATTGAGGGGTACAAGCACTGTCTCTGTCATTTTCCGACTTTCAGTAGCCCTGCTTTTTGTGTTTGTGAAACTCCGACTCTCTGCGACAGCCTTGCATGCTGTGCCGTCACCCTTGAAAGGTGTGTGTAACTAAGACGAATGCAGGTCGAGCGCATGCACCTCATCTTCACCTTTTGTTCCTCGCAAACTAAATCTCATCTCGGAACTCATATTTGTGTGCTGTCCGAAGGGAATCAATGTGCGTACTACCTAAATTTAAGCTGGAGTTTATTTATTAAACCTATTTATTGTCAGATCTGGGAAGTGCCTTTGAAATAATGCAGTTTCCTCCTTGAAAACATGAATATAGTAACGCGACGACTCTGATAGAGGTGTTCCAGGTTGTGTCGGATGTGTCAGGTCTGTTTACCCAATCCCACAATCCCCTATTCATGTAGATTTACTAGTGTAGAGATCCGGCTTTTAGATCCAAGTGTTTGTCAAATATGTTTTGGAGCCACTGTTGCGATGTAACCCCCCTCTTCACATTTAATTGTTACATTTTTAAAAAGACAAGTAATGTAGTCTTTCAAACACACATGGCTGATGTTTTTAGTATTAGGTAAAGATTCGCTTCATTGAATAAACAGTATGCAGCATACAGTAAATTGAAAAGATATAATATTTAAGTTGTACGGTTTTGTTTTGTACCTGTATTTGTCCGATTTAATCCGTGTACTAAACATTTTAATAAAGGGATGAAATACACATGATTTTTTTTGTTTGTTTGTTTATGTAACAGAGCTCTCATTTTATAACTCATTCTCACCCAGAAACACTCTTTTGTCAATAAAATCCTTTCATTATTATTTCAATTATTTGTATTTTTCAGTACACATTATATAGCATTGCATGCTAATGTTTATCTGATTCAGCTGAAAGGAATAGTTCACCTAAAAATGGAAATTTGTTCAAAATGTACTTACCCTCAAGCCATCCTAGATGAAAATTAGTTTGTTTCTTCATCAGAACAGATTTGGAGAAATGTAGCATTACATCACTTGCTCACCAATGGATCCTCTGCAGTGAATGGGTGCCGTCAGAATGAGAGTCCAAACAGCTGATAAAAACATCACAATAATCCACAAGTAATCCACACTACTCCAGTTCATCAATTAACATCTTATGTTATGAAAAGCTGCGTATTTGTAATAAACAAATCCATTATTAACACGTTTTAACTTTAAACTGTTGCTTCTGGCCAAAATATGACTCCATAATCCATAAAAATGCTTCATCCTGTGAAAAAGTCAGTCCCTGTTGTCCTCTAACATCAAAATCTGAGCAGCAATTTTGAACTGTTATCGCATGTAAAAGGTGCTTGATCTCTGCATATTTCTCTCCTGATTCAAATGAGAAGACTTTTTTTACTGGAGAAAGCAGTATTATGGATAGAGGACTGAAATGTTCAGCAACATTTCATTTTTGGGGTGAACTGTTCCTTTAAGCACATGCAGAAATGTGCTCAGATTATGCTTTTGTTTTCATGTTAACACTAATCAAACATGATTGAATTTTTTGCACACATTTATCACCTCTGACATCATATATTGACCCTTGTAAGCATGATTACATATTCTAGCCTTCTGTTAGACACTGAGAACTGAATATGACATCATTCAGGTGCTGCTTTATTAGGTAAAAAAAAAAAAAACCCCTCAGAACTTTGATACCAGAAGCCATTTAAAGACCCGTTTTAATTGCATGAACATTAGCAGAAGTTTCCCAGCCTAATCAGACATTTTCTCCATAACAATCGTCATCACAATTTCCCACAGTTCAAAGTAATACATATCATCTCCAGAGGACAGAGAGGGGTTCTGGGAGGTCTCCAGTCTCTGCAAACTACTTCAATATGGCTGCTGATGATTTTACAACAGGGTGGACACGTACATACAATAGCTTTTGTAATTCACTTGTTAGAATTCAATACTAAATGTAAAACGTTGCGTTGTGTATCCAATTTGTTTCATTTTAGAATAGACGGACAACTATGTGGTGTGCCATCTTGCATTTTATACAGGTTATTTTTCAACGAAAGGGCCCTTGTATCTGTCGGGTCGCACACAGGGTTAATTTTTGCAAATCCATCATCTCAATCACTTGTTTTGAAACTTTGCATCATTTAAACCAGTTATGAAATGAGGCTCAAAGCATTGACTTGATATATTAACTCAGCCCAGGAGTGTGTATTTCTCCCATGGTGCTTCAAATAACAAACGTTGGGATTGATTTTGGAATGGCTTCTGATCAATGTAGGTGTCAACACTGAACGTTTGTACTTTTCACACTGTTATAATGCTGCTTCTGAAACCAGCCTCCATTATAAACCTGCGACCCAACGCAGAACAGTGATCTACTGTACATGGGATGCCACTGCTTTGGCATTGTGGGTAAAGTACTGAGTGTTAAAGCTGAGCGTTGCAATATGTTCTGCATTGTTAAGTTTGACTTTGTCTTGTGAAAGTGGGAGTGCAGTTTGTGAGCAGGAAACGAAAGATTGGAAATAATGTAACTTAATGTGCAATTATGATGTCATCATTGAAACGCAAACTGATTGGTCGAGATGGTGGCCTGGTGAGAAATGTTCACTGTTAGAGAACGGAATTGTCAAATATTCCCAGGTTGTTGTTTTTTTTGAAGGTTTTGATTAAAACCGTTCATTATCCAGTCTTGTATGTTCATAAATAAATGCATGTTCACTAGATGAAACAGTCCAGCAGCTCCCAGTAAACACATCTGTCATGTCATGTTTGAAATGAATGTATTTAATGTTATATTTTAGTATGACGTACATACTTCCATCCAAACAAACTGCACAACAGCGTACCGCTGATGAATCAAAGTGTCGTTGCAATCACAGGAAACACTCAGAGCAATACAGAGCACATCATCCTTTACTATTAACTCATTTAACTTTGATTTCCCTTCTTTCTTTCCATTTTCTTACATTTTCCATTTTACTTCTTCAGTTCCTTCTTGTTTCCTTTTCTTCCTTCACTTACTTTTTGTTCCTTTTCTGCCCTTCTATTCCCTTCTCTTGTTTTCTTTCCTTCCTCCTCTTCTTCTTTCTTTTCTTTTCATTTCTTTTTTTCTTTTCCTTTGTTTCTTCTTTTCTTAGTTCCTTCTTGTTCCTGCCTTCTTTTTCTTTCTTTCTTCTTTTCCTCCCTTTACCGTCTTTATTCCTTTCTTTCTCTGTTTCCTTTCCATCCTTCTTTTCACTTTCCTTCTTCCTTTATTTCCTTCCATCATTCCTTCCTTCCGTTCCATCTTCTTTCTCGTCCTCCCCTTTCTTTTCCTTCTTTCTTACTTTTCTTTCCTTCTTTGTTGCTTTAGGTTTCCTTTCCTGTCTTCCTGTTTCTGTTCCTTTTTCTTTTTACCTTGTCATTTCCATCTTCCTCCCTTCACTATCCATATTTCTTTTTTCCTTTTATCATTCCTTCCTTCCCTCTGTATTTATTATTGTTTTCCTTCCTGTTTCCTTTCCTTATTTCTTCACTTTCCTTCTTTTGTGTTGTTTCCTTTGTTCTTCCTGTTTCCATTCCTTTCTTCCTTCCTCTTCCTTTCTTTTTCTTTTGTTCCTTCTTTCTAAGCTTCAGAAATCACAGGAATGCAATATCACGACTCTTAAAGTGTGGATGAATGATGGATCGTTTTTGTAATCATGATTTCACGTCATGTGCTAGTTAATGTGACGAGTCTCATGGTGATGTTTAACTTAAAAAGTCTTTATGGTTTCATTTTGACACGGACGGTATTTTTAAGCCTCTTTCTCCATCTCTCTCTTTCTGTGCTGTCAATGTGCCATTCTGTTGAGGGTTTCAGATGGAGACTGGTTCTTTACGCAGTGCTGTTTGATATCTAACGTCATTTTCACACCTCCTGCTCCAGGCTGTTGTTCAAATCAAATTATTCTACAAATAAATGCAAGATAAGATGAGATGGTTGGGTAAAAAAATGAAAATAAAAATTAAAGATTTAAACAGCACTATGGCTTGCTGTTAGCACCCAACATTTTAAAGGTACTGTGTATGTAATATAAATATCTGTATGTGACTGAAAATAAACTCCTTTGACCTTGAAATTAAATGTCATCTTTTCTTGAATTTGCATGCCTTAAGTATTAATGGCGTATTAAGTATTAAGGTGACTGGTATATATATAGTTGACAACATGTCTACTTCATATTAAAATGTATATGAATGTGATAAGGGAAAGTGTATATCTTCGGCACTGTAACTGGTCTCTATGTGGTATTTTAAATGACCTTTTTGACATCAGAAGTTCAATTTAAATGTGCATATTTAAAGGAGGGAAGTCGTGGCCTAATGGTTAGAGAGTCGGACTCGTAACCCAAAGGTTGTGGGTTCGAGTCTCATACCGGCAGGGATTGTAGGTGGGGAGAGTGAATGTACAGCGCTCTCTTCCACCTTCAATACCACGACTGAGGTGCCCTTGAGCAAGGCACCGAACCCCCAACTACTCCCCGGGCGCCGCAGCAAAAAATGGCTGCCCACTGCTCCGGGTGTGTGTTCACGGTGTGTGTGTGTGTTCACTGCTGTGTGTGTGCACTTTGGATGGGATAAATGCAGAGCACTAATTCCGAGTATGGGTCACCATACTTGGCCACATGTCACTTCTCTCTTCTCTCTCTCTCATATGGTGTTACAAATTAACTTTAAAAAAGTATGAATATTCATATAGATTCTCAATTAATATAAGGTCATAAACACTGCATGCACAATAATTGCATTAACAGCAAGATGCTGCTTAAATTAGTATTTCAGTTTACCGTAGCATATTCATGCCACATGACCCCAAATTTCCTGGTATTTAATGTCAACTAATAAATTAACTAAAAATATGCTAAATTATTAAATGATCCATAATTAGCATAGATTTATAATACAGACACAAATATGAAAAATAGGGAATTCTTGGCCTTTTTAATCACAGCTGATCACCTACGGAGTCTTTCTTAGAATTTCTCAAGCTTGCACAGTTCCTACGCCAGATGACCTGTATATTGTACATGACCTGAACACTGATATTTTGTTTTTTCTTAGAAAAACCTTAATTAAGTTGTTCAGGGGCCTGTTTCATAAAACAAGTTTACCAAATAAGCCAGGTTTATTTCAGTTAGTCTTGACTTATTGTCAGTTGATCTGGTTCAAAATAAGTCAGACTAACTGAAATAAGCCTGGCTTATTTGGTAAACTTGTTTTATGAAACAGGCCCCAGTTAAACATATATATTTGTTTTTCTCTGTTTTTGAAGAGGTGTCATCTTGTCTCTCTGTTTTCCTCTTTTGAAGTCGTTTGCGGTACAATCGTTAATGAGCTAATTGATGTGCGTTTGGCTAATTAGTGAAGACAGGTGATGCAGGTTACAGAGAAGCGTTTATAAACCCTCAGTTTGGGGCCATTTAATAAAAGAGAAAGGCTTTTGTGTGTGTAAGAGAGAGCTAGTTCTTGAAGGACTGTGTTTGATAGGTGAGCTTATGTGTTGAGAAAGGGGTTTAAAAATATGTGGGGAGGGAAAGTTTTTTTCTTCTTTCAATTCAAAGCAAAGAGGGAGAGAAATTTTAATCTTGGTGTTTTTTTTTTGTTTGATTTTGTTTTCTGAGAATGGCAGATTTCGAAGATTTGATCTGTGCTTTTGGCCCTTCGCAAACCCGCACTTTAAGAGTCCACAGTTGAGCAAACTCC